TCTCTCTCCACCATGAGACCCGCGCTGCTGGTGAGTAGCGCGTAGAAAAAACTAGTTTTCAGACGCTTTTGAGTAGGTACTGGAAAAAGGATGTGTAGGTTTTGAAATTTAATGAGAAATTGTTCAATATTTTTTTGTCTTATTATTTTTCTTTTGTTTATGTTTTGCTTAAAAGATTAGTATTCTTGATTTCTCAGTAATATTATTAAAAATGTTCCGTTAGTACGTCCCGTTAGAATGTGGTACATTGTGTGGTCGCGAAAACGGTTGCGAAAACATTTTTGTATTTTATAATGTGTGGATATGACGGGTGAGAAAAGCTGCAACTATTTTTAGTATATTTTGGCGTTAAAGGAAGGAGTTACAAGCATCTTTTCAGATGCTCGAGAATACTTTTGTATTGCACACAGCGTTAACCAGTTGAAAAGCAAGTGTTTGATTCGTTTCTGGTCCGGTAGTGCCTTCTAATTATTTATGTTTTCCATTTTGGATTGGTTGTTATTAAAACTTCTCGGATGTCAGAGATCATTCTGTAATGTCGAAATGAATTTCCATATTCTTCACTATCGATAAATTCTATACAAAATGAGTGATTAAACGCGACTTTGATTCTAACAAGTATAATTTCTTTCAGGAATAATTGTATACAATCAAAAAGGTTATCATTATTGGCGAGAAGCACTTAGGTACAATAAAATATCGTAACTATTGGTTACATTTATAAATGAACAATATTTCTATGGAAGCCAAGCGATCTAAATACATTTTATGTTTTGTTAAAATAATCTCTCGAAATCTTCCCTAACATCTTATATAAGACTTACATAAGGCGAGATAACATTGAATATATAACTCAATTTTTTTATGAGCAAAATGATCTGAGAAAAAATTATTCTGATGCATATGTACGAAAAATGCGATATGAAATTAAACAGCTGTTTATAAGTTAGTTCAGAAAACATTGTAAAATTAGAAATTAATTGAGTACTTCTACGTATGAGGTATTCTTTTTATTTGTGACCTGCAAGAACAAAAATGCTGTTGAAAAAACAGCAAAAATGGTTTTCAAAAAGTAGCATGACCAATGCTTCATTGTCAATATTTAATGGCGGATGGCATCATACTTAGAGCATTACTCTCGCACGACGTCAGCTCTCTCTTAAACAGTGTGAGAACAGGAATAGTAACACTATCAAGCATTCCTATTTTCAGTCAAAATCGACACTATTTGATTGCTCCAAGTTCCTGGTATATAGCGACACGAACATAGATGTCACTCACGCGACCGGAGGTTGCATTGTTTTCTGTTAATTTCTGCGCGCATTGAAAATAAATAAAATTGATGTAACAAATGAAACAACTGAAAGACAAGAACATCAAATGTAAATGTCGATCGGTTTTCTTCAAAGAAAAAAAATTGTGTCACGTAGTAGTTATGAAAAGCATATATCCTATATTGAATAAGCAAAATCCTATATTGTAATATAGGATTATGATATCCAAGAGTTATAGAATATTTTTTGAAAAGCAAATTGAAATAAAATCACCATTTTTAGGAATGCTATATCAGCAACTAAATATTCAAAATTGCGGTACTTTATGGTAGCTTATAAATCAGAAGTGACTGAATATCATCACAGATCATATAAAAATTTTGACATTTGCCTGTGATAAAACGATTAAATCATCAAGACAGTAACAAGATTAATCTCAACAAGTTTGTCGAAAAATTATTTGTCATAAAATTAAATAACTAGTTCAATATCCCTAATTTATAGTGCGTATTTTTTGGGGGCTCATAAGTTGAACGCCACTTTACTCAGTTTTCACATTTACATCTAATTGTGAGTATTAAGGGTCAGTTATACTGTAATTAAAGAACAGCTCTTACTTGTAAAGTGTTACACAAAACGAATTTATAGGAACACATTCTGCGGTGAAACAGTAAAAATGTTATTTTTTTCTCCCACATTCACTAGCGCTAATAATTAGGAGGCTGTTATACTTATTAAGAGGTAACATTTGAGAGGTATTGAAGAAAGTTGAAGTGTTAAATCGAAAAGATTGGATACATAAAAAACTGCAAGATTAACTTTGTAGTTCTCAACCAATTTTTTTTCTAAAAATATAACGTTAAAAATTACTACTAGTAAGCGCAGGGCTTAAAACTACGAGAGAGAATATTTCTGTGAAACAAATATATTCTTCTAGTATGTTTCGATATGCAACTAAAAGTCAACAATTAAATCATTATTTATCCCAAAAAATATATTGTCGTGGGAACCAATCGAATTATTTAGACATTAATATCACGGAAAGGGTCAAGAAATTCTCAATTATATTATGAATGCCATGTAGTAAACAATACACATTGTTTACGTTTGTCTCTAAAGTGCAAAAATGGAACTATTTTTCGAATATGAGATACATTGACCCCAAAATGGGTTTCTATACAAACTTGACTTGGTCATTGAAGTGCGAGGAATTGCTTTCTCCTCGTTCCATACGAACTCATTCCATCATTGAGTATCTGCACGTCAGCATGAGTTTTACTTTCACAGTGAGAATTGGCACTGCAGTCTAGTACTTGCGGAGTCGTGATGTTCGTTTGCTGACTCAGTGATCATTCCGCTTATTGAACACAAATGGTAATAACTCATGTAGCTCGTCTTACAGTGAAGGTTATCGACATTAAATTGTGTGCACTGTAATACAGTATCATAAAGTGACGTGTGGTTTTGGTGACGTATCAATTTGTCTTACTTTCGCTTGAAGTTTCTCTGACAACCTCGATATTTTTTCTGACATTTTAGTATTTGACCAAATATTCCAGCACATGAGGTATACGAATATAACGTTATTGTATAAGAAATTTCAAATCAAAACTTTATGGTAATGATTGTTTTTATTAAAGTTTCTTTATGGCCACCTACTTTAGTGCTATGGCAATATTTACAAGGGAAACTTGAGCATATAATTATCATTTGTGAAACAAATTATAAGTCATTGATAAAAGTGGCTAAGAATTTTAAAATAATTGTGAGCATTTTTTTAAAAAAATAAACAGTGCCATGACAGTGTTTCGCTCATGTTTTTCTTAAATATAGACTGTTCAGCCAAAATAGTATAATCCTTTTAAAGGTTCGTTGATTCACCTTGAATTTGCAAAACAGGAGGAATTCGGCATGACATGGATTCCACAATTTCATGGTAGATTATAGAAGGTATTTGGAGGGGATCTCCGTATATGTCATGCAGTTCCCTTACATTGGCATGTGCGCATTGATGTGCCATAACGTATCAGATGAGTTGGAATGAGGCCAAATTTGTGCACGTTTGTGCACACTAAGACACCAAACTCGAGCACACCATGTCATCAATGTGAGCTCAGTGCCATGCTTCTCAAACAACACTAGCACGGTTCTCTTGTTGAGACGCGAGCAGTGATCCTTCTGGAAGGTGCCGTCGCCGTCGCGGAAGACATTCACCATTATGGAGTGCAAACGGTCCGTCATACTTTTCACGTTGTCCACGACTTTCATGGTGCCTTCTATTAACTTTACAGGCCCCGGGGAAGCCCATATGAATGTAGCCCTTAGAACAATCTGTCTTTCCCATCCTGTATTCGTGGGGCGATAAATGCGTCGACAAGCCATTCGTCTGAATGACGGAATATCCTAAGTCGACCGTCGATCTGATGAAATGGGAAACGTATTTAATACGTTAGTATGACAAGTGCCCATTCATTCATGGTCCAACTGCAACGATTATTTTCTCACCGCAATCGTTATTAACACTGTCGTCGGAACAGTAAGGAACATGTGGAGTTGTCTGCCGATGTACTTCATTGTTGAATAACGTGCGCGAAACGGTCTTATACGAAACACTTTTGTGTGCGCCAACAATGTACTCTAAAAATTACAAATGCCACGAGTCGTAGCCTATCCTATTCTACTGAAAGGATAAGCGTCTAGTGTTCACGATCTTTGATGAGGCACGATCGGCCAACGTCTTATCGCCAACTCGTGAGATCATTACGATAGTATTACGAGAAGAGCCAGCCAACATTTTCGCCGTTTCCACAATCCTTGTTAACAGGCACAGGGCCATCAAAATCTTCCCTTTATTAAAGTCACTTATGTCGGTAGATTTCTCCAAGTGACTTTAAGAAGGATTCCTCATTCGTCTTTGCTCCGATTACAAACTTTCGTTCTACGCCACGTGACTCCAACGTCACTTTTCACGCGCGCTTATTCTCACAGAGGCCAGTGATCAATATTTTTACTGGTTAGTGTACAGTATTAAAATATGGCTAATTTTCAGACCTGAGTCGTTTCAATACAGAATTTACTTTGATTGGAAGACTCATCAAAATTAATACGACCGTGCCTGCAGCGATCAAACTTTGGTCGAAAAGTTTAAGATCGAATTCTGTATTAGTTGAAAGATTGAACTAGACTAAATATAATTTTGCAGTACTCAAAGTTCAGTCTATGCCAAGAGTGTTTCACACACGGAATATTTTATGGAGACGCGTTTCAAAGGTAAGAAGGACTTGAATTGGTCATTTGTGAAGTCTGCCTAATTTGGTTCGTGGCAGTCACTAGTGAAAGATCCTCTCGTTAATGAAGATAAATCTCGTCAATGTTTAAATTCAAATTACTCTTAGAGACAGAAGCGAATTTATATAATCAAATTGAAATGAGTTATATTTGGACTAAAATATACATAATACCCCAATTTAAAGCATTTAAAATGAAAATGTTAAAAGCTTTTGTCTCAGAAACGTTCATTGTTCAATTCATAAATGAACCTCTAACTGAAAAGTGGGAGGTTTCAGCTAGAGATTTGGTTACGTACTGTGACGTAAGGTTAGAGTTTTCATTGTTTATAGATTGCAATTCCGAGAACAAAACATCCACATGAATATTTTGCTGAAAGCACTGTCATACAACATAGCATATCTCTGATCATTCAATGAGCCAAATAATAAATAAAAACACCAGAATAAACTAGAATCCCACAAACTTTCACTTTCGGTAGAGGAGATTCAAATTCTGATCACGTCGTATAGAAAATATGAATGAAATTTCATATCATTGCCACATAGGTGAAAATGATATAAACTCACTTTCTTGACGTTACTAGCGATATAAACGAGCCAATCTAGTGTAAATACCAACTTACAATTCGCGTTTCTTCGCGAAATGCAATGCGTACCATGGTTTCTTCACGAAAGGATAGGAAAAAATAATGACTCACAAATTATACACGGCATTCTATGTCTCTTATTACAATAACTTAAAATATAGACTTACCGCTCTCCTTTTCTTGGTAATATTCAATAACTTCAAAACATATAATATATAAATGATAGAATATTTACATGGAGATTTTAAGCATTCTGAACATGATCAAGAAAGAAGTGCTCGCGAAACATTCAGCTGCTGTAAAACTGTAGTGTCTACCCAGTTTCTCTGAATCCAGACACTATTCTTAATGATCTTCACGTCATGCATATGTCTGCCGTTGCAACTGTGACGCATGAGGGGTGACCTGACGCGTTTCTTAATAGCGCTGGTTTGTAATATTAATCTTACATTAATCAGTTCAAATTGGAAGTCCTGTCCAGTAAACCTGGCGTATGCTCATAAAATTTGTGTATAATATGGATTTGGATGTAATGGTCTAATAATAAGTTTTGAATTACTATAAGTTAATTTATATTTCTTGGATTGTATACATGATTTCGTCTGGTATTAAACACTGTTGCTGCTAAATTGAAGAATGCGTAACAGCAACAAAAAATTATAATCACGCATCCATTTTGGTGCACGTTAAAGGAAAATCTCATATGTGAATCAAGCGGGGCAGAGCTAATCGAATTATGATGATGAGACATCGTCTTTTGGTACTTAACGAATTTATTGTGTTAAGGGGCAAAATAAATAACGGCGCCGTAAAACGCTATTGAATTCTAGCGTTATGAGACCCTAACATAGAAGGTCATGTGCATAAGGTGACGTCGTAAAACATGAGCTAAAACATCGAAATACCTCATAACAAGCCCAAAAAGCCAACAAATTCAAAAAATTGGTCGTCGCGGTAGCATCATGGTTAGAAGAATTGCGCAAGGGCAAGAAGCCCTAGGTAACACGGTAGAGTAGTGGTCGGTTTGTTCAATTGATTATGGCTGGTACGACAACTGCTAAGGTCATTAGTCCGTAAGTGTAGTGCATGATTTCATTGCGTATGGTAGCGGTAATCTCCCCCACTGGATGGTGAGATCTGGCGCCGGGATAAGCTCTAGGCTAGCGACTGGTCTCCAGACCAATGTAGAAATGTTGTGCATGTAAGTGTAAGTTCATATAAATAAGGGATAAGGATAGAACAAGGAAGAGGAAGGAAAGACTGGCTGTCCTGCAGACAGCGGCTGAATTCTCTGTGCATACGTAGCTAGTTTCGAAAATCCTGCCACTGTCGAGTCTCGGTCGGGGTGACATCTTTTGAACACGTTCAGTTATCGATCGATTAACTTTAATACGCTATTGGCAGATCCTGTCTCTGGCCGTGGCCGCCGTGCTGGCGGGCGAGCAGACGGCGAAGACGCAGGTGGCAGCGCCGGCCGACAGCGCCGCCTCCGCCTCCACCTCCGCCTCCGCCTCCGCCAAGGCCGAGGGCGAAGGCGCACAGCCCGAGAAGCGCGGCCTCTCGTTGGGCTACGGCGGCGGCGGCGGCTTCGGCGGCGGCCATGGCAACGGCCTGGGAGGAGGCTACGGAGGGCTCGGCGGCGGCTTTGGAGGCGGCCTTGGAGGCGGCTTTGGCGGCGGCCTTGGCGGAGGTCTGGGTGGTGGCGCCGGCGGCGGCGGAGGCGGCGGCGGCGGTGCGCAGGTCGTGGTGAACACGGTGACTCGTCCCGTGGAAGTGCCCGTCCCTGTGCCATACACCGTCGTGCGCCAAGTACCAGTGCCACAGGTGAGTGAATAAAGGAATCCCCTCTGTGTTTCACTTGGAAGATTGAGATGTACGAAGCATTTTTTTAGAATGTCTGTTTCAATATTGTTTCGTTCACATTTTATTTCCTTTCCTCAACTGTTTACTCAATTAAGATAAAACAAAGGACACGTGGACGTATAAACAAGTGAAAATATTCCAAAACTTGATATTTTTATGAATATGGTTTCAATATGATACGTGGCGTTTCACAGCCCAAGACAAAATATTTTGTTATCATGAGCTGTCTTCTAAACTGCCTTCTTTAAAATGTACATGTACTGACCGCATAAATCAACCTCATTAATAAACAAAACAAATGATAATAAGCGTATACTACGAAAAAAATGGCAACAGTATCCACTTATTTCACGCATACTTAGCTCCAACGTAAGGAATTGGTTCCCAGAGGTGAAAGATGAGGCTGTTCTGTTCCCAGCCGGTCCCTGTTACCGTGGAGCAGCCTCGCCCTGTGCCCGTCGAAGTGCCTCAACCTTACCCGGTGACCGTCAACCGTCCGGTGCCCGTGGAGGTGCCCAGAGCCGTGCCCGTGCCCCAGCAAGTGGCCGTGCCCGTCAGCGTGCCCCAGCCCTACCCCGTGGAAGTGCCCCAGCCCGTTCCCGTTGCTGTCGCTAGGCCAGTCCCTGTACCCGTCCCGTCGCCAGTCGTCGTCCCACAGCCCGTTGTGGTCAATGTAAGTATTTTACAACAAATCTAATTCTCGTTTCAACAATCAGAAAAGAACCTAATGAATTCGAAGTGATAAAATGTCTGTTTCAAAGCAAAATACCTTCGTTACAATTTACGTGTTTGGTACTGGATCTCCCGACTGGATGACAACGTCCCATTCTAATTCCAGCTCGTGATCTTTAAGTGTCGCAGTGTTTAAATTGGAGTATAATAATGTGAAAAGAAACGTCAAGGAGGAGAATACAAATATATTTGGTGGCTAATTCCCATCTAATAAATATTTTTGCAATGAATTTCTAAAAGTCTGCTCAAAAATTCTAAATTAAACTTGATATGATGCTACCTTTATCTATGTTCGACGAATTAACTAAGGAACTCATTTAAATAAATAATTTAAGAATCACTTTTTTCTTTCATCACGATTGAGATATGTTCATAAAAAGCTCTAAGCAATGGAAAATTAAAAATAATTGACTTAATGAACTACAAAGGAGAAGTTGCAATACAAATTGGGTATGCCAATGAGAAACTTCCGAGTAATAAAGAGACTCTGAAATGCGTAAGTACTTTGTAGATGAGACATTTCCCGAAGAATATGTGAATCTAGTATTATAGATACGTGGTAACTGGTTTCTCTCATAATAGTGACTTTGATTTGTTCTCATTAATCATTGACATTGTATTCTCAGGTTGGAGGCGGTGGCGGTGGAGCTGGAGGTGGTCTGGGAGGTGGCCTTGGAGGCGGTCTTGGAGGCGGTCTTGGAGGCGGCTTTGGCGGCGGCCTTGGCGGTGGTCTTGGCGGAGGTCACGGCAGTCTCGGAGGTGGTTTCGGAGGTGGTCTGGGAGGCGGCCACGGAGGCGG